TTACAGACTGCAAAAAGCTACAGACCAGACTATATTCTGCATAATTGGATGTTTTTAAATAAACACTGACAAAAAACTATACAAGTTTTAGGGCTGGACGATATGATGATATACAGTATAACATTAATGTAAGTGATCACTCGGATTTAGACCTATCTATATTGTATATAAAACGTTTACAGGCAAATTGTCTTCATTTATTTCCCCGGCGTCGAAATCAGGCACATATAAATGTCAGGAAACACGATTCCTGGCTGCATGTCAATATCCATGGATCACTGGATCTTTGATAAGTTGTAAGGAACACTATATCGAGTCCAACTTTTAGTTTAAACTGATAATAGTTTGTTTTACTCGCGTTAACGCAGTTTCCCCTATTAACTCCAGTCACGCAGCAGCTCTTCTGCCACTCAGTCCCGCTGAGGGGGGCGTGTTCCGGCGGGGAAGTGACGTTAATGCATTCCCTCTAAAAAGTCATGTAAACACGGTTTACTTGTGTTGTCATGGTTTGCATGTAAACGGGAAACTGGTTATTTCAATAAGCTGATATATGTGAGTTATCATCTTACTGGTGTGCATGTAAACGTGCTCAATGATAACTGCAAATCCACTTTTCTCTGGAGTCAAGTTGATTCTATGAATTGCATCGATCCATTTGCTTCTCTGTTCTGTAGCTTTTGGCAGTCTGTAAAAATATACCTCAGATTTCTTGTGAAATGTAGTTGTACAGTCAATCGCAAAGCTCTTTCCCATTTTAGATGTGTTTTTTGTGTTTTTCACGGCATTCACGCTGAAAACCAATGCTGCCGTCAGTCTTTGCCACTCGAGTGGGCGTGACCGCAATCACTCCAGCTGACGGTGACGTCATACGCATTCCCTCTATTCTCAAAGATATTCAGTCAACTCAATTCATTATTATGAGCGAGGGAGGGAGAGAGAGCGCGCGCGCGACTGGGGCTTTCACTCTCTCTGCTCGTTCTCTCAGTTAAACAAGCGCGAATCCGCGAAGCCAACTTGATGTGTTGAATGCTCAGAGCGCGTTATAAAACGTATTCTTAAAATACACATTTCTGTTTTAATAAATGCTCATAGTAAATCATAGCATATTGCCTAAAACATTAGGTAGGTACAAAAATAATCAAACGGTGATACATTTGCGACCCATTAAAAATTAGGGTCGCAATGGCATTTCAAAAGGTCGCATATGCGACCATTTTGGTCGCAGTGTAGTTCCCTGAGTCAAACAAATTTGCAATATAAAAATAGTCTATATGACTCATTCTGTCTTTGATGCTGCAAAACCCAATGGGCTTATTTCACCTCAGACATCTAAATATGCAGAGTTTGTTATTGATTCACACCCAGTCTTTAAAATGAATGATACAGTCAGTCCTCATATGGTTCCTCCCTGGGTGGGTCACTAATGGCTGTAAATTGTAATTGTTTTGCAACCATTCTTTCAGGACGTTAAAGGAACTTTCCTGTAAGTGCTTGTTTTGAAGGGTGTAAAAAGGATTGGGACTCATGATCCTTTTTTTTTTTAATTATTGAACATGGCAGGTCTCTAAATGTTATGATGACCTGTGTGTGAGTCAAGCTTGACATGGGCAAAATAACCTCTGCATTTGCTTCAGCATTTGCTTTTCTTCCTTGTTTTGACATGTTTTCCCCCCCGCTAGTGTTACTGTTAGCTATTATATCACATGTATCTGCCAAACTAGGTCCTATCACACAGTGTTTAAAATGGGAAAGTATTATATTTGCATCTTTACCTTGAGGTCAGGTCAGACTCAGCACTGAGCTCATCTGAAGGTTTCCAAAAATACAGACCTGAAATAGCCCTAACCTCTCTGAGGTTACAAGTTCAGTAGCTGCTTATATAGATTGTTTATCAGAAACGTTTAGTAAACATTTGGGTGAATCTTGTGAAAACTGTCAAAAACATGTCAGGATTATATTTCACCCTCAAATCAAAGAAATTATATTTTGCTTAAAAAGATCAAGCCTATTTTCAGAACTTAAAAATTGACCACAGTGTTGACATTATTTTCATGACAATTAAGCACAATTTTCATGTCTGTAATGTGAAAAAAATGTTAAATGTTAAAGTAATTATAATGCATATGATTCATCATAATTAAATTTCTTTTACAGCCATACATTTAGGCAGATTTAATTAAACAATGTATTACCTTGTTATATATATATTTTTAGTTTTTACTTAACTGGACATAATTGAGAAATTGTGGTGAAATTTGTTCAATTTGTCATATAATTATATAAAAATATTTGTGTTAAATGTCTAGGAAAAGATGTAGATCTGGTCAGTCTGTTAACAGAGATAAACAAACCAAAGGACCAAAGGCCAAGAAAAATAATCCTTCCCATTTCTGGGATTTATGCCCCTGACAAGAAAAATATATCATGGTCCACAGAAGTTTGCACCCACTCAATCACCCCTTTTTGTGGCACTGATTCAGGGGGCGAGCTGTGGCCTTTATGGTTTCTGCATACGTATGTGATTGAAACTTACATTGAAACTTGCTAAGTTTGGGAAGTCAGTATACGCAAACAGCTAAATATATCAGTGTGGCATAAGCAAGTGCTTATGTCACTCCAGGGCTCTAGAGTGCGACCAAAATTTGTAAGGGTGCGACAAGACTTTTTCCTAGGTCGCACCAGTGCACCTAACGTTCTCGCATGATCGCAATCGCATCCGCTGCCTCTCCACAAACGAGTCTTTTGTTCTCCTTGCACGCATGGTTGGATCATATCGTGGTCTAAACCAATCAGATATAGAGATTGGGTGGGTCTTTGCCTCTGATTGGTTGTGGTTCAGATATTCCTGTAGGACTAAAATGCTCCGTGCAGTGTGATTGAAATAAATTGCGACCTGTCATCTGAGCACCAGAGAATCAGTTATGGCAATCAGCAGCATCAGCTAAATAAACGCAGGAAAACAGACGACGAAGAAACTTTTAAAAATGTAGGCTACTTGAACTAGGTAAAAAATATTGATTTCTCGATTCTCATTGATTTTTACGAACCGTTGGGCTATCAGTTGATGAATGAATGGAACATTGTAGCGAGCATCCCATCCAATAAATCGCAATAATCTTTGTGCTTTGTTACTATTGATATGAAACAAAGTCTCAGATTTCAAATTAGGTCCATTTTCTTACGAAATTCAAAAACATAAATAGTGTATTGACGCTGTGGCGTGAGATCGCTCTGGCTCAGCTCAGCTCAAGAGAAGCAGCAGCGCGGAGCGCACATGATCTTCTCTTCCGCCTCAATAATACCAGTTACAGCGCGAAATAAACATGAACGAGCATCTGAAAGTCTGTTAAAAGATAGAGTACAACTTATCGAAATCCGTATCATGTCACATGGAATTGCTCAATCGGTGTTTCCGTGGAAACCGTGGAAAGACGTCAGTAAAACGCTTGTAAACAATGTAATGTAACGCCACATTTACCTCAGAAAAAACATATCCAGTGCCCATAAACTCGTTAGCTAGCTAGAAAAATTAACTCTAGAGGAGCATTGTGCCTAATATATGCACCATATTACATATTCATTATAATTTTTTATGTTTTTCAATATTTAATGCATGTTGTTTGAAAAAAATCTGGCAAGTTTTTATGCAGCCACCATTTAAATGTTTATATTTCATATAACTTTATTATTATAAAAAAAAGTGTAATTTAGGTGTTTGTGTACAAATCAGGTAATTTTTACCTTCAATATTATAGTAGGCTAATGAAGCATAGTGGGCTACAACTGACTCCCAGTTTACAGCATTAGTTGAGATTTGTTTTTCTTGAGAAAATTTGCCATGTACTGTACCTGATGTCCAATATAATCAATATTGAATCGAATTGTGAAATTTGTGTCAATATCCTGCCCTAACTTGAACAATGTAAAAACAGCACTTTAATAAAAAAAAAAAAAGATGTATATTTTTTATATACAGTATAATTGTGCTTCAAATAAAAAAAAAACTACACCTTATTCTTGTTTAAAAGCATTTACATAATATACATGAATATATGGAACGTGATAAAAAGGTGACCTTGAAATTGTGGCGTTAAAGGCGACGCGAGACGAGGAAAAATTTGAGTGCACCTAAATTTTGTGCTGGAGCACCTAAATAAAAAAGTTAGGCGCACCAGTGCAACCAAGGCAAAAAGTTAGTCTGGAGCCCTGCACTCAGTTGAGTTCTGGAGTATGGAGTGAGTTCTTCCAAACGCCACTGATTACTTTTTTAAAACTATTTTTATAAACACATCCACCCAGTCTGGGTGAGCAGAAAGAATGAATCAGCATATGTAATTTCATGTGACGTGTGTCGTAGTGACGTTATGATTATTTTGTGAAGTGATTTATCCCTCAGTGTTACAGTGAGTGAAGCTCTGTAATGATGGAACTGGTCACGTCAAAACCGCAGTTGAACTAATCCAACATTGCTCAACATTTACGACTCCTCGGCCGATAGCATCTGAAATTGCTTTTTAATTACGTAGCCATTTGGAATCCCATTATTTGCTGAGTAAGAAAGGATGGCGGATTGAAAGATTTAAAAGGAACGCTGACACTGGAACGCGTTTAAACCGTTTTTCCATGATGTTAGGAACTTTCTGGGCTTAGTAGGTCTCTGGTCCAGTGATTGCATTGCAAACTGGTTTTGGTGATTCACTTAAGACTTTAATGCAATAGAGTGGTTTGTGCGCTGCTTTTTCATGGTGTCATGTAGCACTGCACTGTGGGTTGAATTAGTCATTTTCAAGGGAAAAGTAGTCTTCACACGGTTTTAAGTGTAACATTTAATTATTCTCCTAAAATGGACCAGACCGTCAGGGGAGGGGAAAGTGGTGCACAGTATGTCTGTCTTTTATTTTAAAAAGCCTTTTTTTTTATCTTGTGAAAATGTCAGTGTTAGGTTAAACATTAAAAACACTTGTTGAACTTAAGTTTTGTGCTCTTTATTCCACAGGTAGGAGTATGAATCCTCTCTGGACTGCGAGAGCTGTGCTAGAGCTGGATTCAAAATAAAACAGGTAATGAATCCAAGGAGCAGGTAGCTAAAACTAAACCCATTTAATTGTTGACAGATGGTGCTTGTTTGTTTTCCTGCCTAATATAACTCAGAAGTGTGTGGTACTTTTTTATTTTCTTTATTTTACTGGAGTTCTGCAAACGTAATGCCTGGAGAAAGTGTGGAGAACCTATTACCTCTGCACCACTGAGCCCCAAAGGCACCATACCAACCACCTGTGTGTCTGCTCGGACCGAGTATTTGTCTTTTTTTCTGTTTTATAAGTTGGTAAGTGTAACATTTCTGACAGGGGGCTTTTTACATGCCATTGAGTAAACTGAAACATGGAAGCAATGATACAGCCTGTTGCTCTCGCTCCAGGAAGCGTATTCCAGTCAGTCGAAAAGAGAAACTCTCCGAAGACGTTGAATTGAAGCCATAACCTGTAAATCAAGGCAGCTTTGTAGAAACCTCTGCGTGGTCCATTTTAATGTAGACCATTGCTCAGAAACATACATGAGTCACACTTACTGCGGCGGTATAGCAACCTCACAATCTGGCCTCAGTCTCACGGGACATTCTTAAGGAGTGAGGTAAGACTGACCCAGGAAACCTCCCAGCATTTTATTCTTTGAATTATTTCTCTCTATGGGTAAATACTGTCACCATTCCCTTTTAGTGTTGTTCCCTTTAAAAGAAAAGATCCAGAGATCTAAATAAAAGTAAATAAATAAAAGTACTAAATAAAATTCAGACTAATGTTTCTGCACACAACCTCTGAAAATGATATAGATGGATATATATATATAGATAAACATAGGTAGAAATATATATCTATGAGATGGATGAACAGACAGACTGACCGATATGGATGGAATTAGAGATAAAGATGGATAGATTGACATCGGATGTATAGACAGACTGTGTTGTATTTTTTGTAATGAACAGGACAGACCTCAGGCTTGCTGACATGTTTTATTATTTATATATTTAAGATGTGTGATTCAAAGTAGAAATGTCTTTCTTCAGCATTTTTGCTTGAGTCAGTTGATGTGTGGAATCTTCATTATGTGGTCAGCAAGTATTTAAGCCAAGGGATCCTCTTACTGGCTTTCTTATCCTGCAATATCAGGCAGATTCTGCTTTAACTGATTTATAAATAAATTCTTATTTTTTTAATGATTTGTCATCTGCTCTTGTCTATGAAAGTCTGTTCCTGCTTCAGAGTATATAAAAATACTATTGTGTCTCACAATGTGACTATTTTAAATATTAGCTCTTTACTATTACTGGGGTTTTTTCTCGGTGGAAGTCCATAATTATCAGTTATTATCTGACAACGAGTCTCATCAAAAGACATTGAATGTCAGATAATGACAGAATTTATCCCTTTGCATGCTAAGAAATGCCTTAATGGTATTTTATTGCAAAATGTAAACCATTTGTCATAAATCACGACTAGCGGCTTTGATGAACCACATGGGGAGTTGTTTTCATCACACTGCTTTCTTGTTGGGTAGGGATACTTTTGTTGAAATATTGAGAACATGGATCATGTGAAAATAGTGCCAGCTGAAAGACAACACTTTCCTTTTAATGAAAGACTTCACCGATATTACATATTGTATGTACCTGTCTCAATCCGTGTTTTTTAACAAAAGTAAGTCCCATGGTCTCTGCTCTGTGTAATATATTGTGCAATCATGCATGATGGGAGTAAACCCAATGTAAGGATTGAGTTTGTGAAGCTAGAGTGAAAACACAAGCATGTGGTTGGAGACTATGACTATGTCTGTCATTTGTGATTGAGTCGAGTATGAGCAGCCCGCAGTGATGTGCCTAAGGCACATCTCCCTGTGGCCCCATGGGTTTTGTGGGATAGCAATGGTAATATTTTCCCTGAAACATAGTTGGCGGACTACATTGTTTTTGCATTTAATGGTTTTATGTAACCATTGCTAAGGCCAATTAGCATCATTTTTGTTGCATTGAAAATGACACATGACACAAGCCCATTAATTTGTCTGACTATTTAGATTTTTCCCACATTATTGCATTTATTACCTCTATTTATTTTTTTAATTTATCAAGAGCATACAGGTAACGGAGGTGTTTGGGGTGATTGGGGGCCGTCAGACTAATAAATCGCAGTCTGCACAGAGTGTGCACGTCATTCTCTGCTTCATTTCCCCTCTCCCTAAATCAACCCCAGTACAAATATATTCTCCAACTCCAGATGCTGTTAGCCAGCCAAGTGCAGACTGACCCGCTTCTCCAGATTTGACCAGCCCTCACTATTTTTGAGTCTTATTCATTGTTGGGAAATTACTAACTAAAAGTAGTGACATTTTTAGCTTGACTACATTTTTAGTTGAATGACCTTAGTAGGGCTGCACGATATATTGCTTTAGCATCGATATCGCAATCCGCGATAGTCACATTGCAGGATGTGCGATGTCAAGTAGGGATTGTAGTTGATCAGGAGCAGACCAGGCACCACGGTTCAAATCGCACATGATTCTCTGGATTAATTGCAAAGTTTGACCATCATAGAGCTAAAGTTTATAATTTGTACATGTTTTAGGTCCTGTCAGTTTAAACATTCAAGTGATTTTAAACCATTCTAGCGCAAGAAGACGTAAAAGAAAACTCAATTTGTTTAATGTTTAATGGGTAGATGGATCGATGAATAATATATAGATGGGATAACACACTGATCTGAAACCTGACAAACTTGTCTGTTGCAGTTGATTAGCATCTGTCTGTGTAGTATGACAGTGTAGACTTTATTTGCTTTTAAACGGTTGCTTGAAATGGGTGGGATTGCAAATATAAAGCAGAAAGTACTTGAACATTATTCAAAGTTGCTTTCCCATTTTACGTTGTAATGACACTAACTGTAGCTCTGCCAGGTCTTCATTTGACTTTGAGGTTTGAGCAGTGGCAGCTCTTGGATTTACTGAAGGCAAACCACACTTCTCTGTTACAAAGTGCACTTTAAAACCGAGCTGTCTTCTCCAAGAGTGGCTTGTGACGTTAGGGAAGTGGAGCCACCCTGTCTCTGTCAGACAGCTGAGGATGGATGGGTGAAGCCTGTGTGCTCTCTCCTTCATGGCATGAGCTCGGTTCTCCAGACCTGATCTGAGGATCACATGCACCAAGACAAAACTAAGAATAGATTACAAACATTTCGCCTTTCATTAAGTAGTTTCATCAAGGGTGGAGCTAGTGGACCAAATTGGTCTGGCAGTGGTTAGTATTCCCTGTTTTTTTTTTTTCTCTGGTGGCCCACGGAGCCCCTGCCCCCTTAATCGTTAAAATGAAAGTGCCATTTTTGGTCGTATTGCGGTGCTCCCCGGATTGCAATTTGTACCAACAACATTACACACTAGGCTGAGGCTCAGATTTTTCTCCTTAGCTAGAAAATCTCAACAACTTAACTTGACTTGGTGCACAATTTGTATTTAAAAGGCACTAAAGTAAAAAACAGTCCATAAATTCAGAGTTTAAGCTTAGGCCTATATTAAGAGTGTCTGAACACAGTATGATGTTGTTGACATCTCTTCTAAACTTTAGAGGAGACCATTGTGAGAGTGTTAGAAATTTTGTTTCGGGAGACAAGTGTGAGGAGCAGGAGATTTAAGCAAAAGTCTCCATTTGATGTTAAAGTAACCTCATTTTTGTTTAGGAGAAACATTTGAGATGTTAAAGAGATCTAATTTTTATTTTAATTTGAATTTCTATAACAGCCTTTTCAGATTTGGCTTTATAGTTAAAAAGTGGTTGTTCAGCGAGCAGACAAGCTTGTAAAAAGAAGCTCCGCCCAATATCGTCAGCATTAGAGAACTGTTGGGCACACATTCCAGCAGTGTCGAGTTTCATAATAAAACATAACACCGGCTCCACATCGCAGCCCCTGTGTGAGAGTGCTGTGGCCCACATATGTTGCCATTTTATGATTATTTTCCTCACTTCATTAGGACCCTCAGCACACAGCAACCAAGGGGAACCCACCCAAACCCATATTTAAAAATCATCCGCCACACAGCACAACCTTACATGAACAAATTTTTTGTTTTATCACAGCTTCTGTTCAGTCTGTTGATGAGGATGCAACTTTCTTTCAAAGGGCAAAAAATCGGATTAAATATACTAACTGTATATTTGATAATGGCTAAATGGTTTAGATGATGATATATTCTCATTAGGTGAAAGGAGCTTAACACAGGGACTTGACAGTAATGAGTCCTGTGATGAAGACATATGTCTCTCATAAAATCAGGGAAGTGCTTTCCAGGAATAGAACAGTTTATGGCGCCATCAGAATTAAAGTATCAGTGAATACTTGGGCACCCGAGATCTCTTCGGAGAACCCAAGAAGAAAATTATAATCAGACAGCTGCCTTCAACAGACATATGAGGTTTTTACTCTTTTCCAGTCCGTTTGAGAGACGGTCACACAATTATGCCTGAATTAAAATGCGAATATTATGATGGGTTTCTGAGTGCTCTCACAAGACACTTCACATACTGTCTGCTCACATCATAGTGATTTTGTCAGCCCTGTTAAATTGAATTTGAGTATAGACCAGGGCTATTCAGTTGGCGGCCTGCGGTCCAAATCCGGACCGCCAGTTATCTCCCTCCCCCTCTTTTCCTGGTGGTGTGGCTAAATTTGGTCAGCTTTACGGCTATACGCAATGTGTGCTCCGACTGACCTGAGAAACGTTTTCCGTGCGAATATTTCAGCAGTTAGTATGTGTGTTGTTATAGTATTGAATACTATATTATAGTCATTTATATTGCATTAGATATATTAGGTGGGTAGGGGAATATAATTCATTTTTGGTATGAAATTATGGCAGTTTCCTTGTGAAGGTGTGTGTATAGTTTTTACCTGTGTTTAGGCGTTAAAAAAAAAAAAAATAGGCTATAACATATAGATTCATAATATCATTTGACAGTGAGTAACCATGCATGGTTTTACCTGTGGTTACAGTCAGTCTTCCTGTCAGAATATTT